CCCATTCATTCCCTTAATACTAGATTTCTTTTTGCTACCATTTTCTTTACTTTGTTCTCCCTTTTTATTTAAATCATATCCATAATCACTCCAGTCCGTTTTGTGCTTATCTGCATATACCTTAACCTGGTAATCTAGTTTTTTTGAGGCTTAAGCCTCTTTTCTTCGTTATGCCAAATGAAGGTGTTGCCGTCGCTTATTAATTTATTGTAGCCTAACTTGACTTTATGTCCCTTTTCTTTATGTTCTTTTGCCATTTTCCTTATCGCCGCGTGTATCTTTTGTTGGGTTGGCGTTAGGTCGTTGATATATATCTGCGTTCCCTTTAATCTCGCTTTAGATTTAAAGATTTCGATTTTCTTCGGAAGAGATTCTATCTCGCACACTATCATATCGTTAGCTATTTTGTTTGCTTTTTCAATTTTTACTTCCCGAGCGTAAGCAAAGGAAGTATTGTAATCGAGTCCGTTGGCCGACTCTCTACTTTTACGTTTTCTCGATCTTTCATGACCCCTAGAAGACGAAGAAATAGGTCTCCCATTTCCGTCTGTCTGTCCGTCTGTCCGTCTGTCCGTCTGTCCGTCCGTCTGTCCGTCCGTCTGTCCGTCTGTTGACCCGGATTTTATTAGACAGATAATCTCCGAAAGTACTCGACCGATTGTTGTGAAATTTTGTACTTATATTAAGAATATCATGTAGATGGTAAAACGCTAACCAAAATTTGTCTAATCATCCCCACCACTAATGCGATGACGTCACTTCAAAATTGTACATAGTAAATGGGTTTTCAATTGTATAAAATAACATAGTCCTACACATGTAGTTTACAACTCTGAATCGACTTTTCACCCGAAACGTCCAGATTTTTGGAAAAAAAATCAAAATTATAAAACAACATTTTGAAATTTAATTTTTAATCTGCTAACCAGAATGCTTTGAAATGTTGCAGATGTTTTAAGGCTATAAAGAGCATCATAAATCTTTAGTCAAAAAATATTTGCTTATCCCCTCCAAAAACTTGATGACGTCAGCTCAAAAGTTTGTGGAATAAATCATATCTAAAATGTACAAAATATGATGAGTCTGTACTTGTGATCTATCACTCCATTCATATTTTTTGGATTTGCATATACAGGGTGACTCAAAAAAATTAATGAATGCGTAAATATATTTTATTGATTTAATCAGGAACTACAAAACCGAATGCTCTGAAATCTTGCAGATGTTTTAAGGTCATAAAGAGCATAATAAATGTTTAGTCAAAATATATTTGCTTATCCCCTCCAAAAACTTGATGACGTCAGCTCAAAAGTTTGTGGAATAAATCATATCTAAAATGTACAAAATATGATGAGCCTGTACTTGTGATCTATCACTCCATTAATATTTTTTGGATTTGCATATACAGGGTGACTCAAAAAAATTAATGAATGCGTAAATATATTTTATTGATTTAATCAGGAACTACAAAACCGAATGCTCTGAAATCTTGCAGATGTTTTAAGGTTATAAAGAGCATAATAAATTTTTAGTCAAAATATATTTGGTTATCTTCTACAAAAAACTGATGACGTCAGCTCAAAAGTTTGCCGAATAAATCGTATCTAAAATGTACAAAATATGATGAGTCTGTACTTGTGATTTATCATTCCATTCATATTTTTGGATTTGCATATGCAGGGTGACTCAAAAAAATTAATGAAGGCGTGAATTTATTTTATCGATTTAATCAGGAATTACAAAACCGAATGCTTTGAAATCTTGGGAATATTTTAAAGTTATTATAAGCATGGTAAACTTTTGTTCATCCCTCCTAAAAAAATTGATGACGTCACCCTTAAATTTTGCTGAATAAATCCTATCTAAAATGCAAAAAATATGATGAGTTTGTACTTGTGATTTATCATTCCATTCATATTTTTTAGATTTTCTTAAGAGGTGGTTCAAAAAAATTAATGAAGTCAATTTATTTTATTGATTAAATTAAAGGCAACACTTATTATTAGTATTACACCCCAACCAACCCAATTTGGTAGACACAAAATTTGTTAAAGGAAAAACTCGGTTGAAACATAAGGGTAGCACGCTTATTTACATCGACTTTAACATTACAGACCTGCATTTGTTTTATGCGCTCACTTGGTTCCGCGAATGTGAAATAGACATGTTTATAATCAACCAATTGTGAATTTCACCGTCAAGAATTAAAATAAAACCCAATGTTTTATATAATAAGCGGAAGTCGAAGCAATAAAACCGATGGTCGTTTCGTTTACAGTTTCTCTATTTGACTCTCACGTATGCTGTTACGCCTGTCATCTTAAATTAAGAATGTTTATACATACACGATTTTCAGTTGCCTCTGATACGTAGGTATACGTGAGTAAATTGTTTCGTTATTTTATTGATTATTACAAATCAATATTCAAAACGACCCAATTCATTTTCCCGAAAATTTGAGAATATAATAATTTTATTCTTAGTATTACACTACATCTATCCCAACTGATATACGTGTCCTTGCAAAAATGTTGATGACGTCATCGCAATTTTTTTTTTAATTCCCACTACAAAAATGTAATGAGAAAAAAAACACAATAGGCATGCAGTCGTCAAGTTTACGACAGCGAGGGAAGTACTGTCTAAACTCTTTAGACCAATTTTTACCTTTACGTCCATGCGTTTCTCCATAAAGATTTCAATTGCTTCCCTCAAACTTCTTTCTTTCGTAACTTCTATTTTCATTCCTGTAATTATTATATTGTTTCTTCTGTTTTTCCTATTCATGTATTCCACTTGTTTTGTTGCCATTTCCAAATGTTCTTTTTTTTTTGTTAGGCTCGCTATTTCAGTTTTCATATTCTGATTTTCTTACCTAAGTTGTTGTATTTCTTGTCGATATTCCTGTTGTTCTTTACGTATTACTTTAACGTCCCCCATTAGTTCTTTTACCATTTCCTTTAGTTCTTCCATCTCCTTTTCCTCCTTCTTTCGATTTTTTCCTTTCACCGGTCTCCTTGGTACCTTTTTGCTTTTTTTGAACACGTCGTTCTCGTCTTCCTCTTCGCGCTTTCTTTTATTATCATCGGTTGAATAACCGTCGCTATTTTCTTGACTGTACCCTGTATACATTCAAGCGTTTCTTTCCGTCCGAGCGAAAAACTTATCGCCCAAGTCCATCTTTCGGAAGCGATAACTTTTTCTCAGATTCAGTTTTAATAAGCGTGTCGTTTCTACTTGGATATCTCTTTAATTCCTTGCTTCCTTACGTCTTGTTCTTTACCTGGATTAACTCCTTTATGCAGTCCCTCCCGTTGCAACGTCTTCTGCCTCAACTTATAACCCTAAAAAACTATCAAAAAAAGATAAATATGATTGTGATTACATAGAATTAAAACAACCCTCCTGTAGCCCTAGTTTGGCACCTTGCGACTTTTTTTTATTCAAAAACATGAAAAAACACCTTACGACAACAAAATTCCTTCCAGATGTCTTGTCGAAAAAATATTTTATTTACAAAATGGCGCACTTCAAGACAATATAGGGCAAGTACGAGTATATTATGTTCACCCTCATATTACAATGGTGTGACGGTAAATTTAAATTATGGCAAAACGTTTAAACAAAAGCGTAACTTAAGTTCCTCGTCGTAGTCTATTACCCTTCCTCGATGATTTTACTCTCTGTCTCCCAAAAAACTGCCACATATTGTACTCTAAACCCCGTTTTCGCAAAAATCCAGCTCCTGGACCAAGCTCCGTATTTTACGCTAACACGGGTCTCTCTACGAAATTTACACTAAAAAATCCATTTAGGCAACTGAAAAAAAAAACTTCGCTTTGACTAGAACCATGTGTTCCGCTTTCTCCAATTTGTAACTATAACCGGATGAGCATTAGAATTACAAAAAATGAACAAGCAATATTTAATTACGCCACACTCTTCAACAATTTTAAACAAGGACTTTACAGGGCATTGAATTATGCATAAATTCAAGGTAACATTTAAATCAAAATTAGTTCAACAAGATTACATAATGGATTCAACAGATCCCCATAATCCTTAAAACAAAGCATAGGTATATGAAATAAACAACAAGGAACTTATTAAATATGATCTCTTTTGCCATTGCTTTTTTAATTTTTCTCTGTACCTTCTTACACCTATTTTTAATCCTTTTTTATCAATAATGAGATAAACGTCGTACAATAAAGTACCCACCCCAATAATATCTTTTGTATATGAACGCGTTAGTTTTAAAATGTCATTATCACTTACTGCTTTGTCCATGAATTCAACGACTTTGTCAAAGCTCACTTGATAATAGTTGTCGAAGTTCTATCTCTCAAAATGGATCAATGTTTAAAATTAAATGTCATAAATTAACTGTTATACACCTTGAGTGAGAAGTTATGATGTGCGGATAATGTGATACCAATTCAAAACTAATTTTTTTCACTAGCAGCCATGAAGCATACAAATGTCGACTTATTTAGAGGTAGCACAGTTCAACTTTTTCGCCCAAGATTCAAAAAGAAGATTGAGGTTATGTACGAAATACTTGATGTGATTATTTCTTAAAAAATGATTAAATGTGTGCTACTAACATCACTTGAGTATACGCATAGTAGTTGGTAGACGGTAGAAAATAAAATGATTAATTCAGAGACAAGTGTAAACGGTTTTCTTTGTGTTGAAGATTTAGATTAAGTTTGATTTGAAATCAAAACAAAATCATGTTGCGTCAAAAAAGTGAAAGTTTATTTTTTCAATTTATTGTCTTATGCTTTCTACTAGTGAAAAAAATGGTACATTAACCACGGTTGTAAAGCCACTTCTAGACCTCGCGCTTTAGAGCCTTCGACGCTACGCGTCTCGGGTTCTAATTTGCGCTCAGTCTATAATGCTTGGCTTTGCAACCTTGGCTAATAATATACTATTTATCCCTCACCTTGTTTATTGCTCCTTGTTATTTCAATACATATACCGTTTTATTTCAGAGAGTTCAAATTGTCATAATTCTGACGCTCCAGGGAAATGTATCCCTATCACACAATGCACTTCAGCACTGGAAGCAATAAAAAAACAACATTCTCATGGGTTGCAACGTTGCGGTTTTGAAGGACTTGTGGAAATAGTGTGCTGTCCAGATTCAGAAATGCAGCAGAACCATACAGACAAACCACCTAACGAAGACGACAACACCGAAAACACAACTTCATTTAAAGGCGGCGTTATAACCAGAAAGAGTCAAAAGGCGTGCGACAAATATTCCACAGCTTTACCACCAGTTCTGGTCTCCTACATTCTGGGTGGAGAGGATACACAACTAGGAGAATTCCCTCACATGACCGCACTTGGTTTCTTCAGCAAAGAAGACAATATGTATAGATTTGACTGTGGCGGTACTTTAATTTCCCCTTATTATATAGTGACCGCAGCGCACTGTGTTGTAAATGTTCAGGGCAACGAGCTGAAGATAGCAAGACTAGGTGTGATCAATGTTCCGGGAATGGTGGAAAAGCCTGATCCGAAAATAGATTATAACGTCATCAACGTTACAATTCATAAACACTATGATGGCCGAAAAAAGTTCAGCGACATAGCTTTAGTGAAGCTTGAGAAAGAAGTTACATTTACTGATACTATTCGGCCAGCTTGTTTGTACACAAAGAGTGATATCCCTGAAGAATTAATTGTAACTGGATGGGGAGCTGAACGCGTCGGTAAGTTGTCAGACCTTTACACTCTTAATTAGAAATACTCACTTGTATACATTTTGCAGGAGGCGAGAGAAGTAGTATTCTCCAAAAAGCGATTTTATACTCTATGAATTTGCAAGAATGTAGTCGTTTATATCAGAAAAAAGTTCAAAAACAGATAACGGAAAACCAAATATGTGCGATCAGCAATATCAGCAGTGCTTGCCAGGGAGACTCCGGAGGACCTTTGCAGATTCAAAGCAGGATTAAATTATTAACAGTTGTTGGACTCTCATCATACGGTATTAGCTGTAGCGGTCAGTATCCTGGAATTTACACAAAAATTAGTAGTTATTTAGACTGGATTGAAGAGATAGTTTGGTCAGGAACCGTGTAGTAAATTGCCATCTCAACATCCAGGAGTCGACGTGCTAGTGTTTTGATGGATTTTTCTAATAAATGTGATTATTTTTGCCACAAAGTTAATTTATTTTAATATTTACGATATATATATATATATATATATATAAACAAATATGTAATGACTTCTCTTTAAAATTCCATTGTTCTTATTATCTCCTTATACTATTCTCAATGTTTTGTGATAAATGTTATTAATGATAGCAACATATTTTTAAGAATGTTACTTGGAAGACGAAATATACATATAATGTTCGAAACGTAAGGAAATAAATAAAATTAAATAATTGCGTGTTTTTTCAAGATTCGTCGTCATGAAGTCGAAACGCTTACAAATCTACATATATTAAAAATTTGGAATGACAAATGTGTTTTTCACCACCTTCAAGGAAAATAGTGATGATATTAAATCGACAAAACAGAAAATGATTGAACGGAATGTGCGATTATCTAATAGATGCAGTAATACAGGGTTTCTATAAATTATTATAGGGTCGCAGTACCACAAAGACCAACACGCACACTGGTTGCCTAAACGCTTCACATCTTTTTAAAAAATAAAACTAATTCATTACAATAAAAAGAAACAAATTTATTGAGGTTAAACGTCACAGTAAATGTTGAAAATGTTCATCAATTTGTTCAAGGCACATGTTCACCCTCTTTTTAATTTCAAAAATGTTCTGTAACATCATTTCGTCAATACTTTGGACCCGTTGTATAATTGTTCAATTCTGCTCAAATCGTCTCAAATCATCAACAACTTTCTCAGATACTGAAGTCTTCCACGGAATTTCTCTTTGTTGCCACTGCCAGTTCGAACAAATTCGTTGATTACATGTCTAATATGAGCCTTTAACGATGTTTTTTGAATTATTAAATCACAGTATTTGGAGAGATATTCTTGCTTACAAATGGTTACAGAATATAATTACTCTTCATTTACGAAGTCCCATTGCGATAACAAGACATAACGATGAAAGTGTCTTCTTCAACAGAATAAACCATTTTCACAGTCTTCGCTTTCTAGCAAAAAAACAAAATTTTCATACGCAACTACCAAGAGCTTTGAAAACGACTGTTTTGTTGTTTTGAGCTTGGATCAACGAGAATTACTCTAATTCGCACTTGAAAAACGTTAAAACAATAAAAAGGACTACTTTAAATGACAGGTTACAAATAACATTAGACATTAATGTAACAACTGAGAATTGTCATTATGAGGTATAATTTCAGCGAAGCGGTATTTTTGAAATCCATGGCCAACTACGCCCTTAAAATCATTTATAAAAGCCCTGTATAAAAACAGCATGTTGTGTGCAAGTAAATAAGAGCGAATTTGAATTAAATTCCCACTGAGGGAAACCGCTTTTGAAAGATTAAAGATCAGAAAAATGCATTCCAGAACGTAGGCGACCATGCTAGTTTCAAAATTTTAAAACCGTCAACTTGGGGTAGGGGAAGTGGAATGCAAAGACAACGCAGATATGATTTTAAAAAAAGGCAGTGTCACTGCTTATTTAGTGAGTGCACAGAAAATGCGTGTTAAAATTAGGGGTATGTTAAATTTATTATTTAATATCATGAAAAAGAGCAATTGTTTAAACAAAACGAATCACATTCGACTCCATAGTCCTCTTTCAATGAGTGTAATTACAGTGTAATATCAGTTATTAATGGTTTACTAATCTGAAATGTGCAAAATCTTTCAGTTTCATTACCACGTGTAATTTTTGTTTTATTATATGTATGTTAACGTTCATATAAAACACGTAGCAGGAAATTCACTCACTCATATTAAAAAAGAGTGTTGCATGCTTTTACTTAAGTTATTAGAATTACATAACACACCCCGTAACTCACTCGAGGTTTATAATAGTTTATTTTTGGCATTTAAACTGATCTTAAACGATGATCCCTTTTGAGAGAAAGGTCCTTGAAAAGTATCATTAGGTAAATTCATACCATCATAGACTAGAATGGGAGGTGTATCTTAGGTTTATGTTCTAGTACCTATATTAATGTGCAATTTTTTACATCCGAAATATTAACTCACAGCTTGAATTTGAACATTTATTCTCGAATTATTATTTTCGTTTTGCGTATATTTAATATGTGCCTTGTTGTGTTTATTGCACATGTGTTTTGTTTTATGTGATGTGGGAATAACCTGGGTCCATAACGTAATCTTGATTAACTTATTTTGCTTTAATCATTAACTTGAATTAATGTATAAATTCTTGTTCAAAAATTCTTGATACAAAGTGGACTAACGAAAATTTGTTTGCTTTTGCAGTTTCAGTAATTCAGAACTTCTGGAGTACAAATTTCATATTTCATTTTTTCTGGTTTTAACACACGTCGGACCTCTTTTAATCCACAGTAACAAAATGAACGAGTTGAAGTTAATGGATCAATGCAACAATGGCGCCTATGGCTCGTGAATCTCGCAACACAACGTAACGCTGAAACCTGAAGAGAGCTCGATCGCCCTGATCAGAGGGACTCTCGCGTAACCGTGGTAAATTTGTCCCCACGCCATCTTAGTAGCTTAGTAGCAGTCACTTTAATTCAGATTTCTCTTTTTTCTGTTTGTGTTAAAATTTGAAATACCTATTCAAATATATTCTTAGATTTTTCCTCTCCAGAACGGAGGAATTAACAATTTGTCCTGAATGACACTTTTCCAACGCTGGAATTCACCATTCTGAACGGATTCCGCCATCCGCCATTGAAAAAACACCCAAAATAGTGTGCACAAGTCTAATTTTGGAGGGGTCTTTGGATCAAAGTAAGATCAATCTCAAAAGGTTATGAAAATAGGATTTGGCATGCACACATTTGTGTGCAATTGAAATAGTTTTACAGTTTAGATAAAGAACTGTAAATTTCGAAAACTACAATAAGTATATAAGTTCTATATAATTGTAGATCATTTGAAATCAAGAACAAGAGTGGTCTTAATTGGACTCCTGGGGTACACCAGGCAGTGAATATGATTTTAAGCTCTATGACCACTAAATATACTACTGTAAGTTTTCATCAATTAAATAAGACAGCACCTCTTCCTACATGTTTCATATTCTTTCGTCATTTCTACTAATTCGTTGTTTAACACTTAATGGTCTTCTATATTTTAATTCTTGTGGCATTTCTTATCGAACCACTAGGTTTTCTTCGTCCTTGTTTCTTTTTTAAAGTATTGACCTGTTTGGAGAATTTTATCTTTCCTAGCTGCCGATAACTTTCCTATGTCTTTCTCATTGTTAAAGGTTTCTCAAAGGTCAGTATTATAGCGTATAAGAAAATACTGTAATAATCATATATTACTCCAAGAGGTAATAAGTCTTGAGGTGTATTGGTTGGCAAAAAAATTTAATTGAGCTACCAAACTGATTTTACATAGGGTGTTTACTAAAACACCACAAAAAGAGAGTACTCCTTGGATTACTTATTTTTAGATTTTTTTGTTCTTGAATGATTTTCGGACACGGGACGATAAAAGTAAAGTAAAAGTACTGTGGAATGCACTGGACCTACGGAGTACAAGAAATAAAATTCCATAGTGATTTGGATTTTTATTTATGAGGCCATTTGAAAACGCTAGTAGACCTACTCTAGTCTGACAAAGCGAATAATTGAGTGGTGTAAAATAATATCATTAGAGAGCGGATAATGCTTTTTGTGAAAAATGTAAGCACTTCAAAACTTTTTTGTATCTGTAACTATGATACAATTTGGAGTCATTTGACACATTTTTTTTTTATGCTTATTTGCTTTTTTTTCAATTTTATGCATATTAAAACTTATATGTTTATTTAATGCTTTTTTCGACGAATATGAGTTTGAATGCATATTTTGCTCAACGGCCTTGTCGGGATGACAAATACTTGTTAGTTAGCCGTACCGTATCGTATGCATTTTACCTGGACTTGACCATTGAAGTACACTTACTCAAGACCCTTTCTGTGAGTAGGTTCCGGTCGTTTGGGTAATAAAGTTTTATTATAGGATTGGAAAAATACTCCATAGATTTTATGACTTTAAATCCTTACTTCCGTTGATAATGAATTAAAGCTTTTAACCAGATGTTCTTTTTCGGCATTTTGCGGCAAGACCGTTGAAAATTTTCTAGAAAAAAGGATTATTGTACCCAACGACCTACCTTAAAATTTTTCGAATGGAAACTTTTAAGTAAATGAACCGTTTATTTCACAACCATCAGTCTATCGCATCTGTCGTAGTACAGTGTTATACGTGGTTCTCACTTGTTACATGTTGAGTTCTTTTTGGTAATATTACTAATATTTTAAAAGAATGCCGAAAGTAAAATCGATGCCGGATGAGTGGATTAGGGATTTTCCAGAATTAAAATTAGAAAACAACAAAATATTCTGCAGAGCTTGTGTGAAAGCCGTAAGCCCACTAATTTTTTTTTATCTATTTTCCTTTGTTAATCCTGTATATGTACATTGTTTTAGATTCAAAGTGATAAAAAATATAACCTGACGCAACATGTCAGAACGACTCTTGATGTAGAAAGAAAGAAAATGTTTGAAGTTTCTAAAATTAAACAGCAGACCATACATGAATCTGTTGCATCTACTTCCACAAAAGATGAGCACTTTCAGTTTAATTTCGATTTATGTAAAATGATGATCCAGTCCAATATACCTTTACAAAAATTGGAGAAAGGTCCTCTTCAAGAATTCCTTGAAAAACACTGCAATCGACATATTCCGGTTAAAAGTACTCTCCGAAAAAATTATGTAGGCCCAGTGTTTCAGCAAGTTTACAACGAAATTAAACATGGCATTGGAGATAATTATTTGTGGTTTGCTGTCGATGAAACAACCGATAGTTGTGGAAGATACGTGGCAAGGTTAATTGTTGGAATCTGAAATGAAAATTTCCCTAGTCGAGGATATGTAGTAAGTTTGAAAATGTTAGATAAAACAAATGGCAATACGATTACCAAATTTGTAAATGACAGTCTTACGCCACTATTTTTGCCAAATGCCATACCGGCGAATAAAGTTTTATTGATGATCTCGAATCCAGCTCGTTATATGTTGAAAGCAGGGAATAATCTAAAAATGTTGTACCCCAATTTAATTCACTCTACTTGCATTGCCCACGGTTTAAACAGAGTGGCTGAAGGAATACGTTTGCAGTTTCCTACTGTTAATAAATTAGTGGCAAATGGTAAAAAGATTTTTGTTAAAGCCCCACTAAGAGTGCAACATTTTAAGAAAAAATTTCCAAACATACCATTGCCCCCAGAGCCGATTATAACGAGGTGGGGAACATGGGAACATGGTTACATACCACATTTTATTATGACAAATATATCAAAGAATTTGAGGAAGTAGTTACGGAGTTTAGCGAAGATTCTTCTCAATCGATTAAAGATTGCATAAATATTTTGGAAAACAAAGATTTGCGACAAGATCTAGCTTTTCTAAGAAGCAATTATCAATTCGTATGTGAGGTAATAGAAAAGTTAGAAAAACCCAACATGTTGTTGGTAGATGCCATAAACCTAGTGAAAGAATTTAAACAACAAGCAAACGCAGTAAGGGGTGATATTGGTACTAGAGTATCTCAAAAACTTGACGAAGTGTTAAATAAAAATGCAGGTTTCGGTGTTCTTTCCGACGTTGCTCGTGTTTTACAAGGCCAGAAGGTGGAAAATTTGGAGTTAGATTCAACATTAGTTGCAAAATTCAAATTTGCGCCAACAACGAGTGTGGATGTTCAACGCACATTCTCCAATTTTAAACACATTTTAAATGATCGGCGAAAAAATTTTACAGTGAACAACTTGGAACATATTACAATCATAAATTGTTTTAAAGAAAACTGAAATACGTGTGTAAAATATAAAGTCTAGGATTATTGTAATAATATTTTATCCAAAGTTCTAAGAAGTGTTCTTTGATTTGTAATATGATTATGTTTTTAATGCTTTTTTGCTTAAAATAAAACTTTTTTAATGAGAGTGTTATGCTTATTTAATCCTTTTTTGCTTAAAATAAAACTTTTTTATTGAAAATGTTGTGCTTATTTAAGCGCTTATTCTTAATTTTTTTGTGATTATAAATCCGCTCTCTAAATATCATAGCCGATAGTAGGTAGTCATTTTCAGCAGTTTTGGTAGAATCAGGTATAACGCTCTGAACTGGTGCCCCATGTTTAGTAAACACCCTATATACAATGCTTATTTGTATCACAAAGCCAGAAACTAGGCTTTTGCCAATGCAACTAAATTTGTCGGAACGAGCTGATAGGCGAGACTTGAAAATAACGAATGTTTGCAAAAGCACGTTCTGGGCAAGTGATACACACGATTTTTTGTGCCAATTATTATACAATTAAAATTGTTATTAATTATATTGTTTTTGACGGTATGTAATCATGGAAATGAAAGTGTATAAATAAATCTACCATAGCCGAAGGTTAATAGAACCAGTCCGACGACCAAAAACCGCAAGTTCAAATGTCGCTTACAAAAAAGGTGACAAAATGACAAGCAATAATACCAGGCGATATCGATGGTCATAAAAAATCTCTAAGGTTTTACTGGACTAGTCCGGCAATTTTTGAATTCTGGTCATTTAAAACCGAAGGTCCCAAAATATTATTTTAATAAGTGTGCGGACAAGAAATAAACTGAAAAATTAAAACCACCTGGCAATAACCTACAGACAAAAGTATAGATTTGTATCTGTATCGGTAATTTATAATTCATTACTTTTATTTGTATTCTGAGACCATTATAAAGTACAGAGTGGCTATAAATTATTCATACATTTATCGATGTATGGAAAAAAAAATCACAATAAAGAATTTTGCCGCATGTAAAAATGAAGCTGTTACATGCAATTTTATTTTTCTGATCAAAATTTAAATAATCAGAAAAATGTTGAAAGTGGCCGACATCTTGCTACAAAAATACAACCTAACCCTTCTTATTCCAAAATATATTTTGAAGCATTTGTTAATTAATATTGTTGCAGCAATTTATAACTTCTTCCAATACGTCATCCACATTATACGTTCTTCTTTTAAACATTGCTTTTTCGCAAAAAATTAAAAGTCAAATGGCGTTAAATCATGAGATCGTACAAATCATGCAAGAAATAAACCTCTACTGATGATCTGATTATGGTATCCTGAACTAAGAAATAAAAAAAAACAACGCCATGAAACCGCACTTGGAAAATTTGAATTAAAAAAAAACGTGTATGTTCTAGAGCATTTAGGGAACTAATCAATGTCACCCTGTAGTCTTGAAGGTTCGGAGTGCTGAGGGGTTGGCATGTAACACGTATAAAGCTCCCACACTTGCTCTTTTATGTCGGTCAATTGTGATTATTCTGTTGCGAGTGAAAACACGTATTAAAACTGATAAGATTAGATTTAGTTTGTAATTCTGTGAAAGGTTAATTGTTTAAACAAAAATGAGCCGCATTCGGTGCCACAGTGTAATTATTGTAAGACGAGTTAATAAGCGATTTTCTAATCTGAAATGAGTCAAAATTTTTGTTTTATTGTTTCTAAATTCACATTTCATTTTAAAATTTTTCGTTGTTACGAGATTTATAATAGTAATCTAAAATCTAATTTTAAGGGAAACGACCTTGAAAATTATTATCTGTTAAATTAATATCATGGAGTCGAAAACGAGAGATTTTTAATATTTTCTTATAATGATATGAGGTTTCGGTCCACGAGGTAATCTGTTAATTGATTTTGATTTGATCCAGAACTGAAATTAATACATAAAATAACCTCATTTAAATTCTTTGTTTAAAATTCTTGATAACGTGGTGTAATTAAATTTTACTTGCTTCATTTCTTAAAATTCTAATATTAATTGAGTTATCGTTATAATTCGAGAAAGATAGGAGTTGAATTTTAACTGAAATAAAAACACAAGACCATATGGCGAAAGCAGATCACACAAGTTCTAGTTAAGGTTTGCATGTTCTGGCATTTGCCCAAAAGGATTTTTAATTGAGAACTTCATGAAGAGACCCGCGTCCACGTAAAAGGTGCAGCTTATACAAACAGATGGTTATTTCGGGAAAATCGGGTAGAGACTATAATATGCGGCAGATCTTTTAATTAATTGTCCATCGCAGACAATAAAACTGCCACTATACGACAAGCAGTCATAAACATAAAACTTTTTCTCTTCAATGTGGCATGAAAAGCAAAGAAATTACTATTAGTCAATAATTAAATTGCTAACATTCAAAATATTGATACAATGATTTATCCAGGTACTTATCAAATATAGCGAAGGTACCTGTCATTTCATAAACCAGTATAATGCACAACAGTTTTTCAAATCTTCCCCCATCCACAATGCAAATTATCTTTTGTAACTTAAAGTCGCCCATAAAATGTGTACCAAATTTAATTATACCTTATTCATTTCCATAAGCTATTATTTCACCAAATCCAGCAGTAATTTTACACACACCATAAAATTTGCTATTATGTGTATTACGTTACCTTTTAATTCTTACGTCTTTTTTTAATACTTTGTCACTTAAATTTCAGGACATCACTCTTAACTGGGAATTTTTATCTCCGTCACTAAAACACAAAACATCCTGAAAAAGTTATTAGAATTAAACTGTTTCCAAGTACGACTTCCCATCAGCTACTCATTTCCGAATTTACAAAATACAGATTCGTGTAACGGCACTGATAAAGATGCAATAGAAATTGTATGTTCAACGAACCATAGAGTTTATCGTGACGCATGCCACAAACCGGTCCCTCATGAGTCGATCAAAAATGAAAGGGGATTTACTACAACACCAAACACTTCAAAGAAACTCGAAAGAAGAGCTTGCGCGTCGTCGACGCATTTCAGTCAACAATAAACTCACACTAGTAGTCTAATAAGTCAGTCTGTGTTCAGTTTTTGTCATGACATCACCAACACTGAAGACGACCACGTGATAGTGACCTACCTAGTAGTGTACCAGCAAAAAATGTTTCAAACTAAAAACTGGGCATTCTACGGTTTAGTGATTGGATTTTCTTTGTTTCACGTCTATTGTATACCCCGGGAATTATTTGGTAATTATAATTGTTATACTCTTTCGATCGATTAGTAATTTGTGACTGTAGACGCCTGATAATTCTTACAAACGTGGAAATAATTTGTAGCTGTTGATATGTTGCTGGAAAAGGTCATCGCCAATTACATTTTAATAGGTGTTTTAGTTTGGTTTTCCAAGAACAGGACTGAGAGTTATTAAAAATATGCGTTTAATTCTGACAATTTTGTTTATAGTATTTGACCTTCTAAATCTGACACTGACATTGGTCCATCACAACAAAATCATTATTCATTACTGTTGCGCTCCGTTGATTCATTTCTAGTTTTCACGAGAACATTATTGATGTTCACTACACCGACCCTAATTAGGTACACGTAGATAAGGGAAAAGAAAACATCAAAACAAGACGTATCTGAAAGACCATGAATCCTCAGAAGATCTCTTTATTGCTTACACGCCGTTAATCATTGAACTCTATGACCTGAAACTACGAAAGGAACTGATAATTATGTTCGATAAGCTGCAATTATGGGAATTTTGTATTATATTTTCAACGGCATGACTTCCAGGAAAAACCGCAACGTATTCTACCTAATAACTTAATATTTGTTTTGCGAAAAAATGAATGTTAAAGAATATCCACTTCCTTTGTTTTGTTTATTCATTGCGAAATTTTGCAAGGAAATAATAGGAAGACTTTATATTCACAACACAACTGCTTATTGTAATACACGTGCACGAAACTTTTGTTTTTACTTTTATAACTTGATAAAGATTTAAATTGTTTTTTTTTATTTTGAGAGCACGTTGTACTAATTTTCGCAAATCTCGTAAGTATTAATGAGGTACTATTTTTAAAAAGTAAAATGATTTATTACACAAAAATACCCCTATACAGTGTTAATATGTTGTTCTAGCACTTTTCTCAGATCAGAACACACTAAACACTACTTTACTTTACGTACTTTCCAGTGAAGATTTACCTAATGAACGGGAATCAGTAGTACTCTAAACCGGTATTAACAAAAACATCTGTTACGTAGGTTCTACGATGAACTTTAAAATTTGATTTATTATTATTATTTATTTTTATTTTTATTTTTTTTTTTTTTTTTGGAAAATGCAAATGTGTGAAAACTAGACGGTGTACATTTTATGTGCAATAGTTTGTGAAATTTGTCATCTTCAGAAGCTTTAAGTAAGTTTGAAATTTCAGTAATTTAGTTTCGAGAGTACCTATTACGCAAAAGGCTTCCAAGGTACAGGCCGAAATAAAAAACGTGTATTTTCGTGTCCTACATTAAAATATTAAACAAAAGTAAATATTCGTCAAATTAATCTGATATCAGTACTTTCTTTAACATTCGCACTCCAAAAGTAAAATTGGTTTAAAGTTATTTAGACAGAACTTCCCTCCTCTGTAAAATACAGCTTTTTCGAAAAATTATAAAATTTTATTTTGTTTATTCTTTTGTAACAACCCCTATAATTAAAATAGAGTGTTAAAATGAAGGTTAAGAAATATGGTATGGATTTGTTGTAACTGAGTTTTTCCGGTACAAAATTTTGAGATGACGCCATCGATATTTTAGCAAGGACGCGTATATCAATTTGAATAGATGCAGTGTAGTGGTGATAATAACAGTACTGTATTGCAAAAGTTTCCGGATGATGGGTTAAGCCATTCTTAATTTGATCAATAAAATAAATTGACTCGTTCATTAATTTTTTGAGTCACTTTGTAAAAGCAGCTTTATAAAATGTGAATGCATTAATAAACTACAATTATAGACTTATAAAATTTTCCACATTTTAGATACGATTCATTCGACACGTATAAATTTTGACCACCGATTTACCTTTAAAACGTTTGCAAAATTTCAAGCATTCGGTTTTGCAATTTCAGTGTCAAATTGTAAAATGTTGTTATATTTTTTCCAAAAATCTGGATGTCTAGGGCAACCAGTCACTACAAATTCATAAACCACAAATGTAAAGATTTGTTATTTTATAATATATAAAGAGCATTTACTATGTAGCATCAGACAAATTTAGTTAGCTTTTTACCATATAGGAATACATGATACTTCTAACATACATATACAATCTGACAACACTTGGTCCGGTAGTTTCCAAAATTTGTCTAATTAAATTCGGCACAGACTGACACACAACATATGATTGACAGACAGACGGACGGAAACAGGAGACTTTTTTTCATAATCTATGGGTAATGAAACGTCGAGAAAATATTCAAATAGCCATTCACTGGATGGACCCTATTACAATACTTTCCAAAGCGTAAGCTAAGGACAAAAGAAGTAGAACAAATTATGTTTTAACCGAAGAAACGAAATTGAATATCTTATGGTGTGACTTTGAGCGAAAATCCCCAAAAATTGAAAAACATTGGGTTTTCTTGTTGTTGACGCTTTAAAAATGTTCAAAACGTCAAATTATTCCATTTGGAGAATGAAATTTTCCAGAAATCAAGTATAAAAAAATTACATTCAAAGTAAATGTTGTTTGTATTTTCGCTGAAAAGTGGAAAACACCTTGACTTTTCTTTGTAGATTCTCGGTTACATAATTTATTTTCTATGCATGTTTTTAAGTTTAGTTGACACGCAACACCTATATGTATTTTATTCATTTTTTTACTGAAACCACGATTTTTTAAGTCATTTCTGTACACACACTTTCTTCGTTTCTTGGTTCCCACTTTATTTTAAAAAATACTTGAAATACTCAAAAAACTATTTAGCAAATTAATCGAGAAATCATTAGGCAGTTATTGTTTTCAGATATTTTTTTGCCACACGTATCAATCAATTAATATTATATAACTGTATACCGTATAAACCTTTTATATTCCGGATCCTAAGTTTCATACTAGAAATGATATCGTTCACTTCATATATTCGCCAATGATTTTATACAGTGCTTGACATGTTTCTAATATCACCCACGAGTTTTTTTTTCCACAACGGATTAAGTTCTTTTGGATTTAATCGATAGTGCACGCGTATCTTTGTCATACTGACTTATAAAAAAATGTCGATAAGAAAAATAAAAGATCTTAGATGGCTACGAAAAATGTATTTCTCCTGCTTTCACATCAGTAGGAATCACGTTACTATTCGTTTAATTTATTTAAATTTTACACGGTACTAACAAGACAATGATTTTTTGTTGCTTACCTTAGTTTCCGTTATTACACAATTACATTGTAATGAAAATTTCAGAAAAATCAAATCGTGGTATGAATAGATATTTAAAATATGGTGTATTCTGAAGTGGTAGTTTCTTAGATTTCTGTGATTCACTAGCAGAGATTGCAGAATCAATCACAACCTTAAAATTATCAGTTGTAACAACAATTTTGTTAACAATATGTTCTTATATGGTATGTTTATTTTCACGATTCACTTCAAAGAACTACTCAATGTAAAATCAAATCATAATTTTTATTCCTGGGATTTTCAAATTCATATTTTATATCCTTTCTTAATTTAAACATTTTTATGGTCGAATTCTTGGTATTTCATATTTCCGAGAATAATGTATTCATTATTAATAAGGAAAGATAATTATTATATACCCTGCAGATCTTACAAATATTAACGTAATAATTTTAATTTAAAGAAAATGTCTGCGTTTGTTACAGATTTCTACTCTTTGTTCGCAGGTAATTAAAAGGGTCTGATACTCTGCCACAAATTGGAGGGAGAGAGAGAGCAATAAAAAACACAATCAAACCATAGATTTTTGAAAGTTTTTCTTTACAACGAATCATACATATTATGAATAATATTTTACAGTTTAAGATAAATTTCACTCAATATTGTGATTATTGGCCGCACTATGCAAGGTACCTACCAATTATCCATATTAAACCGAACAAGCGCGATTCACTGACCACGAAAGTAGCGGCAGCAATAGTCTTGGTTAAAAGTTAGTAGCCACTGCTGATTGCGATTATCAGAAGTCAAGGTTAAGGGTACTGTCAGCTCTAGATAGAAATACGGCACTGTTACGCTTTCGTAGTTTTCCTCGAACTGAGAAACGAAATTTTGTAAACAAGTTTGTTAATTGTAATTATTACGTCATTGTAATAAATATACATAAAACACCTGCATATTTCATATTCAGGCATTTTAAGTATACATTTGAGGAACTAGCAACGCAGTGATATGAAAATGAAATTTCTACGATTTTTCGACCAATAACAATTTTATAATATTTGTTCATAACAGTCAATAATACTAACTCTTACATAGTACAGCAATGTGTAGAAGTAAGAAAACAGTTATGTTGAACAATCAAGAAAATTATCAATGATTTTCTTGGATGCTTTTGCAGAAGCAGTTATAACTCTACTTAAAGTGTATAAACCAATATTTTGTCTTCCCATATTCGAACAATTCTGATTGCATTGTACTTACAGATTTTCACTTTCCAAGAGTAAGATATGGAAGTATAGTAAGCCACTAATTTTGTATACCAAGAAAATTTTACAACCTCAAAGTATCCGTAAGATTATGACTTATAGCCCCTCAGTCCAATCTTGATAAAGATTACACAGGGACGAATCAGCCTTATTTTACAAACAAATGTTAACTTGTTGGTGAAATTATTTTTCCTCAGTATTTAAGTCGAACGAATCGTAAATATCTGACAACCAACTATCTTCCTAAATACAACCCTGAAATTTGTACACATTGTCATCTAAAGAACGAGTGTTCAATCACTGCCTTTTCGTTTTAATATGTGTAGACTTCTTTATTCGTTTCACAACATGAAACTTAAAATATGTTTAAATTGGAAAATTTGTATAAGGAAATATAGATTTTGTAATTAGGCTCCGCCCCATAATTGGAAAATCCATATTTCCTTGCAAAAATGTATCATTTTAACCATGTTTTAAGTTTCTTGTTGGAAGAAGATGTATATTAAGAAAAGAAAAAGGAAAAATATAAGCCCCACCCACCCGACCTATCTCAATTCTGATGATTTTTTTATTCGTCGTGAGCCAAGGGGGCGGAGCTTAATTGCAAAATCCTTATTTCCCTACAAGAAATTACCATGTAGGGCATGTTTTTGAGTATCGTGTTATTCAAAGAATACTATGTACATACCGGGTGTCTGGAAAATGGCGGATTAACTCTTCAGTACGTTATATACGGCGATTTCGGGAGTCCTAAAAAATAATAAAAAAAATCTTTATGATGTAGATTACGAAAAAAACGTAATTTTATAAAAGTAAAATTGGCAACACTGCACACACCTAATGCGTGAATACCTCCGGCTTACTTTCTGATTTCTTAGTAACGATGGTAACTGAAATCCACCTTCGCTTTATATCAGGCAAACATTGTTGTCAAATGGAATTTTATCAAATTATTACAAACACAAGACGACCATATCTTTGTACATTCTAACTGAAATGGTAATTAAACATTTGTCTAAGGAAATATCTATGTTGCAATGAGGCTCCGCCCCATAATTGCAAAATTCATATTTCCTTGCAAAAATGTACCACTTTAACCATGTTTTAAGTTTCTTATTGGGAAAAGATGGCTAGGTATAATAAGAAAAAAAGACAAAATGTAAGCTGTTTGCCCTTACCAAAAATTTAGTGACGTTATTTCAGAATTTACATGCAAACTAACATGCTTGTAGTATACTCTTATTTTTAACCTAATGTAATGTATGAAAATTTTTGAAGAAAAAAAATTTTATTAGGTTGTTTGAAAAAATTGCCGTCGTAGGATTCAATTAATTTCTTTATCTAAACACTATTTTAACAGAAATCACATTATGTGTTGTTACACTTGTTTATAACATTCATCACAACATCAGATCAGTGTTTGTTCTCTCTTTGAAATATTTTAAGGTCCTAAAGTGAGAAGGTACCGTGTCTATTGGTTAAACAATACGTGTTATATAACAAATTTTATATTTTACTCAATATTCGCAACTTTTTATTGTGTATCATGAACATGACCCGTTCTTCTTGTAGATTTATTGTAGATATAGGTTTATTTATGGTATTGGTGATTTTTGGGTGTTTTGTTCACTTTAAGCAAAAAAAAATATTTTAAGAACGTCTCCTTTTCAAGGCTGTTCCTTATTGTTTGAATGTGCGGGACTTTTTCAAATAATCGTTGACAATAAAAGTAAAGCACAGAACTTTTTCCTTGGAAAAAAATTACCAAAATGATTAGATTTTTATATTTATCTCTTCTGTGTCTATGGACACTGGTTCTGTGTATGGAGACGAGATACAAGATCAGGTTCATTTTAAATTGTTGATTTTTGTGCAGTTGAAAAAAAATCTTTTTCCAGCTTTCTTTTTCTGGAGAGAGGTTTAGAACTTTTGTAGACATAGTTGGTAGTACAATAATAATGTTTATTAAGTAAATATATGGGATTTTGTTTCCATTTTATGAGCTGATTAAATTAGTTACCTGTCTTTATTAACCCATTAAGATATTTTAAGATTCGAAATTTAATTATATACATTTTAAGCAAGTGCTTAAACACTGTGTTAAGTCTGATTGCTTCACCTCGTTGAAACCCCATATCTTTATGCAGTTTGATAACGCTAGTATTTTTGTTCCCAAAAAATTCCGTCGCACCTAAATATAGTCTGCGCTTAATTATAATTTAATTACGTATTTATTTTAACTTGGTTAGATGTAACATCACAATTTTAACTATCATACACTGTTGCTGTCGGTTGAGGAACACCTATAAACATTCCTTGTAAATATTGTATAGATTGGCACGATTATTCTCGTACAAAAAATGTGATGTTTCTATTTTTATATAAACTTGAAGTACCAGGTTTTTGGCTAACAATAATTTATTTACACTACCTAAAACGAAATTATTTCCATAAAGTAGAAATAAATTTTAGTCAGTGTCATTTATAAAAAATGATACTAATTTGCATTTTACACTTATTTAAAAAATTAAGTTAATGTTAAACCGGTTAAACACGAATAAAAGTCGGCAATATATTAATAAATTTCAGGGCGACGTTGGTGGTATCATATTAGAGAAATAACAAATGTCCGTGTAATATATCGTGGTATGATTCTTTAATATATTATATTTTTAACTGCTCACTTAATCACGTTAAAAGATAACTATAATATGCGACTCAAACATTTATTTTAACAATGTTTAAATCTTGTCCTGTAATTGACTACAGCCTGTAGGACATCTTAATAATATACAAAGTGTTGATAAAGTTCTGCACAAAATTCATATTTCCGTTAATTGGAATTTTCTTGAAAAATCTTCGGACAAGTCAATTTTATTTTTTAAAACAACACTTCTTGACGTAAAAATTATTTGTTTGCAAACTGACGTTATCAATGTTTTTCTTTTACTGGTAACCCCGTTTTTTTTTTAATTCTGATAGATCTTTTTATTAGTTAAATAGTCAGAAAAAAACTGGTACCTTATATTAGCACTTTTTAGGAAAAATTCTATTAAAGTTGAAAAATAAAAACTGAAATTTTGCAGAAAAACAAAACTACAAACGGCTATCCAACAACCATTTAACACTACCAGCACTAAATATTAAATACTTTGTTTGCCTGTTTACTGGTATCTGGGGTGATATTGCCCATTTCTATTCGAACTCAGCTGTTCTTGAAATCGTCCTGATTGTTTGGTCTGTTCAGGTAGACCTCAGATTTTAAATAAGCCCACAAAAAATCAAGTGACTTTAAATCTGGCGAACGAACCGGCCATTCAAACGGTCGCCCTATTCATCTTCCCTCTACAATTAGTTCAAGAAACTCTCTCACTTCCACGCCAAATTGCGTTTGAACCAGATTCGTTAACTGTGCAGATCACCACTTTCGTGGTTCAGAAACAAAAACTGAGCAGGCTGAAAATGATTTCAAAATTACTAGATATAACAGGTATATAGTAAAGATAATACACAGTGTTTCTGTTTATAAAGATCTTTAACTTGGTCCTAGCAAGAGGTTCAGTCAGAAGTAAATCAACTTTACCTTTAAACAGAGCGACTTGTTTGCCCAGAAACGATTTTTGTTTCCTCTCCTCAACATAGTATCACAAAATTTACAGAAAGCTACATAAAACATCCTCCAACTGAGAATTATTTTTTCAGAGAAGGGTTTATATGGTAGACTAACTGTTTCTATTTGCAGGACGGTTCTATTAAGGTGAACCAAATTTCATTGCTAAAGATTTTTCCATAAAAAAAAGCAAAAGTGACCTTCATTTCCTTCATTTTTTCTGTTAATTCTTCACGATATACTTTTCTTAATTATTTCAATGTACCGCTTTGTTTCAGCCGGTTCAAAATGTCATAATTCTAACGCTCCAGGAAAATGCATCCCTCTCACAAACTGTACTTCAGCGCTGGATGCAGTAAAGGAACAAGGTTTCCACGAGTTGAAGCGTTGCGGTTTTCAAGGATTTGTAGAAGTAGTGTGCTGCCCCTCTACAGATATGCGTGCCGTCCATACGGACAAACCACCTAACAAAGACGACGACGATGACAGAAAAGCTTCAATTAGAGGCGGCGACCTAAACAGAAAGAGCCAAAAAGCGTGCGACAAATATACAAAAAATTTACCAATAGTTCTATCCTACCACATCGTGGGTGGAGAAGATGCACAAGTGGGAGAATTTCCTCATATGGCCGCACTTGGTTTCTACAGCAAAGAAGATAGTGTGTATAGGTTTGACTGCGGGGGTACTTTAATTTCCCCTCGTTATATAGTAACCGCCGCGCACTGTTTTGTAAATGTACAGGCCAACGAGCTGAAGATAGCAAGACTGGGTGTAATCAGAGTTCCAGAAACTGTAGAAAAGCCTGATCCTAAAATAGATTATAACGTCATTAACATCACCATTCATAACGAATATAAGTGGAAAGAAAAGTTCAACGACATAGCTTTAGTCAAACTTGAGAAAAAAGTTACCTTTACCGATAGTATTCGGCCAGCTTGTTTGTACACAAAGAATGATGACCCTGAAAGGTTAATGGTAACTGGATGGGGAGCTGTGGGTTTAGGTAAGTTGTCAGACATTCACACACTTACTCAGAAATACTCACTCGTATACGTTTGCAGGAGGAGAGCGAAGTAGTATCCTCCAAAAGGCGACTTTGAGCCCTGTGCCCGTGCGGGAATGTAATACCACATATCAGGCTAGGACTCAAAAGTACATTATAGAAAATCAAATATGTGCTGCCAACAATGTGAGCGATGCTTGCCAGGGAGACTCCGGAGGGCCTTTGCAGACACAAAGCACAGCTAGCGTATTAACAATCGTTGGAGTAACATCATATGGTATTGGCTGTGGTAGCAAATATCCTGGAGTTTACACAAGAGTTAGTGGTTATTTAGACTGGATTGAAGATCTAGTTTGGCCAGGCGCCATATAGAAAATTGCCATCTCAATACATACGGGTTGACGTGCCAGTAATTGTGATAATTTTTTGTTGCAAACGCCATTGTCTTTGGGATGTTAAGTGCCTGAAACGTAATTTATTGTTAAGATTTCAAAAAAAATTATATTTCTTATGTGATACAATTATAAAGTTTATGTTGATTTACGTTGTTTTACCTATCCACGCATTAGTAAAAGTAATAAATAAAAGTGAATCACATGTTTACTCACGACTGTTGTGACTCTTTATCTAACATTATATTTTTGGTCTCACACTGCGTCAAAATTTTACATAAATTATCATATGTACATAATCATAGTTGACCACTAAAAACCTGTGCATTATGTACACAAAATTTGGTTTTACTACATCCGTCTTTTCAAATTTATTTAAATTGAGCAGTCAGGCAAACAATTATTTTGTTGAATACAGTCCTGAAAAAATGAAATTTTGGTGACATTAAGCACGTCAAAAATGCGTAATTTTTCTAGGCCAGAAATTCTAATTCGTATTTGATTAATTTTAAATAAGATCAAAAATTTCGGAAAAAATTTGCCTTAATTTCTATTTATCATTCATTTCACGTCGTTTGTAACGTCTCAACGGTAAAATATCAATATCAAATTTTCCATAAATTTTAGAACCGATATGTTGAAAAATTAATGCGAAAGTTTCTAGAAAAAATACACTTTGTTACAGATTTTTTTCTATTCTTTCAGATTCTCTCAGTATCCCTGAAAATTCCCTCAGATTTCCTCAGAATTTTTCAAGATAGCTTTGGATCCTTTCAGGTCCGTGCAGACTGATTCTTCCAGGTTTTTCTAGAATTTTCTAGATTCTCTCAAATTCTTTCAGATTCTGCCAGGCTTATCTAGGGGAAATGTGTCTGAGACGGCATGTTAGATAAGATGGCATACTATCGTTTTTACTAAGTTCGAATTTGAATTTAGCGCTTTGAGTAACGCCATCACGTCACTGTGGCGTAAGTAGAAAATGCTACGTAATTTGAGGTTAACTGGCGAGATGGTTTTCATGTTTGAGCAAACTGTAGAAACAGGTAAGTGTTAAAAACTTTTATCCGTCTCAGAAAAACTCTCGTAAGATTTATTTTGAGATAAGTTGAAGGTTCTAGTAGTAATTTCTTATTTTTATTGTAATTGCGCATAAATTCATGACCACAAACCCAACGGTTTTATTCAAGATAATTCTTTAAAGGTGCACTTTCGATTTAAACGTACTTTTATGTGAGATGGCACAGTAAATCTAAAGATGAGATGGCATGGTATGCCATCATGTCTTTATTGTACTGATTTGTCTTACACCATTGAGATTATGTTTTTATTTGTCAGAAATGGGTCCTTATCGGAGAAAATCATCTCGTCAATCATGGAGTGTATATTTTGTAATGAATTATACACTGTCTCCAAAAGTGGCGAAATGTGGATTCAATGTCAGAAATGCAGAAAATGGAGCCACACAGAATGTGCGGGCTTAGTTCGAAAAGCAAAACAGTTTATTTGTGATCTTTGCAAATAATAAAAATTGTACTTTCAGAGTTAACTAATATTTTGTTTCTTTTTCAAAAAGTTATTTTCTTTAATTATTTAATTTTTGGAAGTGTATTTAATGTTTTTTTAACGGCATTTGAATATGTTTATGATAAAAAAACGTTTAAGAAATATTTTCTATTTTTTAACATTTGGTTAATGTTTTTGTTGTAAAATTTTAATGGTATGCCATCTCACCCTTAAGTATATAGATGAGATGGCTTGTGCGGTTGAGATGGCGTAGTGTTAATATTAGTTTATGCGAAAAAGGTTATCGTTTCAAATATGCTTCAAAACATAGTTTTGTGTTAACTAAGAAAATGCCCGAGGTGAAATAAATTAAAATTTTTTTTTTAATTTTTTATGAGGCGATTACAAAAAGCATGCCGTCTCAGACACATTTCCCCTAGATTCGACTAGATTTCCTGAGATTCTTTTCGATCCCCTCTGATTCTTTCTAGTTCTTTCCGATTCTTAGTTTCATATTCCCTCAGATGTTCTTGGATTCCCCCAGACTCTTCCATATTATTTCAGATGATTCCAGATTCTTTCCTTTCGGATTCTTTTGGATTCTTTCGTATTATTCCGGTGCTTTCGGATTGTTTCACATTCTTTCAAATTTTTTAATTCTATTCAGGTCGTTTTAAAACCGTCCAGATACTTTCATATCCCTGCAGACTTTTTCAAATTCTTCCAGATTTTTCTAGATTCTTCGAGATTCTCAGAGATCCCCACAGGTTTCCTCAGATTCCTTCAAACACTTTCCAAATCTTTCAGATTCTTTCCGATCTCGCAATTTCTCTCAGATTCCCTCAAATTCCTCCATATTCTTACAAATGTTTTTATATTATTTCATTTTCTTCTGATTCTCTCCTTCATATTTATTCGATTTTTTTTTTATTATTTCGGATGCTTTTCGATGCTTCCGGTTTGTTTCCAGTGAAATTTGTTTAGATTCTATCAAAGACCGTCAGGAATATTTTTTCAAATTTTTCAATCCTTTTCAGGTCGTTTCAGATCGTTTCAGATGCCTCCCAATTCTTCCAGATTCCTCCAGGTTATTTTTTAGATTCCATTTGATTTTTCTAAATTCTCTCAAATTCTCCCAAGCTCCCTCAGATTCTTTCAAATTCCTTCAACTTCCTTCAGTTTCTTTACGAATCTCTCAAATTCTGTTAGATTCCCTCAGATTCTCTTGGATTCTCTGGATTTTAATAATAATAATAATAATAATTTGCTCCTGGAAAATCGTTCAGATGCTTCCAGATTCCTCTATATTTTTCGAGATTCTTCGAGATTCCCTCAGATACCTCCACAGAGTATGACAAAGTTTGAAAGAATTTGAAAACATCTTGAATTCTCTCAGATTCTTTCAGATTTTTTCGATACTCTCAGAATTTTTTACATCTCATATCGTTCCACATTCTTTCAAATTTTCCCAGATAATTTCAGATTCCTGCAGACTCTTTTATATTGTTCTAGATTTTTCTGAATTCTTCGAAACAGGAAATATCCATCTACCAAGATAAGAGTACCAATAATTGTTTACGTTTATTTTTAAAATATTAGAAAAAAAAACATTTTATTGGCCAGAAATAATAAAAATAATTACACAGAGCAAAATCATTGCTGAGGCATTGCCTCCCCTGCTTCATAGGGCAAGCCGCCCCTGCCTTAAGACGTTTACACGACTTCTGAACATCCGGTTACATGTCAAGGGTAAAAAAATCAAGTGTAGAAGTACGTTATTTTACAAAATTTAAATAGCATTTACTATGCTCAATTTTAAGATGACGTCATCACGTTGTTGGTGGAGATGATTAGAGAAATTTTGGTTAGCGTATTATCATCTAAAAAATATTCTTAAAACACATATACAATTTGACTACGATCGGTCCAATAGATTAGGATATTATCTGCCTAAAATTCGACACCGACGACAGACAGGCAGACAGAAACGGGAGAACTATTTTTTCATACTTCAGAGATCATGAAACGTCTAGAAAACATGAAAGTATCTATTTTATACGAAAATATAAACAATTTAAATCATTATACTTGTGAAGTAAATCAATCCTCTCAAAATATATTAAGATACTTAGTTAAAATTCTTAAAGAATTTCGAATTCTAACTAACATCACATATCTAATTCTTTAGGGTATTTTCCTCTGCAAATTTGTGTGCCCAAATTTTATACAGTAAACAACAGTTCTGAATTACCTTGTTACCTTGTAACACTCTAGTTAGATAAAGATTCCACAGTAGCACCCTTCTGTTTCTTTTAGTTTTCAAGTCAAGATGATACAGTTTTCTTAAGACTACCTACTACATTCGGGTACAGTTTTTCTTTTTCTTTGGGATTAAGATTTATTGTAGTTTGTCTTTTAGTCGACTTTGTTTTACGTTTATTCATATTTTCTTCGATTTCTTAATCTCTATGCCGCTACAGTTGGTGGAACTTCCAGAGTTTTTTTTTACGTATCCGTGCAAACATGTTGCGACGTGCTGAACCCTGTTTGCTAGTATAGGACAACATTTTCGACATTTATTGTAAAAAGGTAGTAGCAACTCTAGGTTGGTCTTATTTTTTTATTCTAATAAACAATGTGGAATCGTTGCGGCAAGGATCAAACATTCGTCAGAATAAAAAGTCGATTACCAAAAATCGGTCCTTCTCAGGACCACCACTTGTTTCTACAGCTAATAATCTTTCGCACTGACCTTTAACAATGGATGAATACATGAATGAACGAATGATAACCAACAAAAAGTCGGTATTACTTTTAATTGAAACTGAAAGTGTTTGCATCGTTTTTATTCGAACGTCTTTCCACCTACTGTTTAAAAGGTGGATCAGTGGCATCGCATCGAGGGTGGTTCGACGTTTAATTTATTTTTTCTATAGTTACACATTACTAGGGTACCTGATGCCGTGGTTACAATTATTGCATATATTTCAAAATCACCCTGTATAAACAAAAAATTCAGTACTTCCTTAAGTTGTAGCTTACGTCACACGAACAAGCGTTTTTGTGAAAATGTCGTTTTACTTTTTTCTGTAGTTACTTTTATTATTATTATCATTTTTTTGTTTTCAAAATTACTCCTAAAATATCTCAAACTTCATTTCTGTTCTTTTAATTGAATTTATTCTGCTCTATATTACGTAAACTATCTCTTACAACAAGGCAGTCATAAATATTTCGTACATCTAGTGACACATGAAATTTATAAATCGTACAGATTTGCCACTTCTTAGTAATGGTAGACACTGTTAAAATTTTAATTAATGTACTTAATATGCTATCTGCCAGAATAATTATAACACTTGAACTTTCGTTGCCATTATTATTAGTTATAACACACTGCCAAAGAGGCGGAACAAATCACCACTTGGATGAAACCCCTGCATAACCAATTTGCGTTTACTTTATTTGTTATTCCCTACAAGAAAAAAAAAACAGCATTTTAACAAAATTCAAAATATTCATTATCATGCATATTAAAGTACCAAAAAATGCGTAAAAGTAAAATATATACACTTTGATAATAATAATTGATGTTTGTGACTCGTTAAAATTTATTATATTGCCATCGTTAGTCATAATATATTTTTTACTGCAAAATTATCATTAACTAAAAAAATCAGTAACGTGTACATTCTTCAACTCCTCACGCCCGTGGTAACACTTGTTTTAAATATTAAAATATTAAATACTAACAAATAAACTGAAGTTGCGCAATTCAAACTTCGAGGACGTCAAGGTATAGTGAGCAATAAATTGGAAGAACCCGGACTTACAACTACAATTTCACTCTGGTCAGTTGCAGTCAGTGTCTACTGGAAAAATGTACTCCAAAATGGAATCAGATATTGAACCACATGTCTTAACCAGCAAATATGCTGACAAAGAAAGACAACATGTAAGTATCTGATAGAAATTAACCATTTTTTTTACTAATTAAAATTCGTTGTGGTAGCTTCTTGTGCAATCGATTGTACATACTTCAAAAATGCCAAACAAAAGTATGGCACCAAAATTAATCGAGGCTTTAAATTTTTGGTTTAAACTACCAAACGACAAACTGGATAAGGTTATCAACATTTTTCGGCTTATACAAGCTACTAACAACACGTACGACTATCTTTTTATTTTGTTTTGAATCAAAATTTACATTTTTAATCTGTTAGTATAATTGACGTCTCAGAAAATGCGATGGCTCGCAACGGCAAGTCTACAGCAAACTCAGTTTACAGTTTAGCAGATGCCCTCAACTCATCTTACTACTGCTGTTTTTTGATTTTAGAGAGACTGCGAGATTTAGAAAATTTTGAGGTCGGTTTTGTTAATTCTGTTATTTAATGATGACTTCACGGATCTATTTTAGGCAGTAAAATTTGGCAATGAGTATTTCTTAGATTCTAGTAAAGGCTACGGCTTAGAAACTTATTGGAGGGACAATATAATATGCCCATCCGAAGAAGAATATGTCAGAATGGGCACTCTAAGTGGGTTATCTGGTAATATTTAATAACCAGAATGTAATATTTTTCATTACAGAGACAGGTAGTGTTATTCGAATTGTTATCAAACTAATGCAACTTCTTAGCGGCAATAAAAAAGATCTTACTAAATTAACAAATAGTTTGGCACAATTTTTCCATATTTATGACGACTACGTTAGTTTACATGCTATGGACGATGTAAGTATTTTCTTTCAGCACTTTTTACCGAACTAAAAATATTGTTTCTAGTATTTACTAAATAAAAATGGTACGGATATGATTAGTGAAGGAAAGTTCAGTTTTCCGATGGTTCATGCGATTTGTACCAAGCCTAATGACGTTCAACTTCTGAGTATCCTTTTCACAGAAATTTTAAAAATTTTACTGGTTTTCTGACGAACTTAAAGTCTATGGATTAATCTAGATATTCATTTTCGTACACTTAAATCATGCGATTAAAAAAAACGAGAGTAACAGCTGGTTGTGGTAAATTTATTGCCTCAAAACGAAAACCAAAGAAATTTGTTAAATTTTTAAAGATTAACAACTTCGGTTCTTTTCAGTTATTGTTGTGGCAAAATCACGCTAATGCAAAAAAATAATGTGACGGTATCTAATTTTACATTTATTTTTTAAATTATTTAAAAATCCACAGTCGCAATTATTATTACTTTAGTACAAGGCTACGATTAAATCAATATATTTACGTCGTGTTTAACTTGAACTTTGAAAGCAAATAATAATTAAACCTTTAATTTATTTAAATATGATATGATATTACTAACAACTTAACTAACTAACTCCATATTTGATATTTATTTTTTTGCGCAACACACTTTTCTTCATATTTTTAAATTGCTTTTTGTACTCTAGAGTCTAACCAAATCTATTTTACTAAACTTTAGCATGCATTGTAAATGCGTATAAGTGTTAAATGCTCATAACAATTAAAGAATTCATGAATTTTGAAATGTTGACGGGTGAAGAAAACAAAAAATTTGTTTTGCGAATCAGCTCTCTGGTTTCAAGTTTTGTGTTTCAGATTTCATTTTCCACTTGACATAAACTATAGGGCATAGACAATTAAAACTATCAAAAGATATCAAAAACCGATGAAAATAAACACCACTACAAAAAAATTATATGTATTGATTGTCAGGAACTTTTGTTTTTCTAGTCAAAAATCACTTAAAATAATGTCAGAAATGTATTAATAAAATACGAGGAATACTGAATATTTTATTACATACAACTGACGTAACTATACTGACAATTCACTAGATGACGTCACATCGAAACGTAAAAGTACATGTTATCTTATCTAGAAACGTATATTATTATTTTACGACATTAACCTGATTCTGATACTTTAAGGAAAACTACGTCAAAGCGTCATTAGTTTTTTTTTTTTTAACTATATATCTGAATGCCATGTGTCATGTTATGAACGCGATAATGCTCTAGTAGTTACTTAATAGTTGCATTGACACAATTATTGCAATTTAGTAAACAACTTTAATTTTTATTTATAATGTTTTTATTATATAACCTTGATTCATACAGATATTCTACGACAAAAAACTAAGGAAGAAGAATTAATCAAGTACTGTCTTAAGTTACTGGAAAAATTTGGAAGTTTGGAGTACACTAAACAAATTCTGAAAAATCTGAAAGAGGAGGCAGAAAAAGAAATGAAACAAATGGAAGAAAATCCTCACATGAAAAAAATCTTCGAGGACATACTTTCGAAGTTAAAAATAAACTAATTTTGAAAGTATTTTGTCTTGGAATTAGACATTCATTTTGTCTAAAGGTTTTATGACAGTTCATAAAATTGGGTGTATTATGAGGATTATTGTTGTGTGCACTTTTGGTTTATTAATAAATGAGTTATATTCTTACTAGTTGTGTGCTACCTATACAGAAGTTAATTCTACTGAAAAATATGTCGCTGATAATAATGCTTGGATTTGGACATGTTGCTAGTTTAAATTGAGTATAAGTCTACGTTGGACCTGGTTGATAATAAAAAAAATCGTCTGCTATTATTCTCTAATCTCACTGCATCCCCAACAATCTACGCATCACTTGAACCCCTACGTTACTCTGACCTACTGGTGCTAACCTACTCTGACAGACAGTAAAACAACTTTTTGTATTTTGACAATTACTATTGAGTCAATTAAGTATAAATATTTCAAATTCTCAACTAAACTAATTGGAACTACACCTACATTGAAGATTGCTAAAAGTAGAATTGAAAGTTTCTGAAGATTTAGCATTGGCTTCATTTCTATCGACAATTGTAGATATTTTGAAACTTTGGTGTAGTATGTTTGTATTGTGTGTGTTAGGAACAATGAAAATGCCTTCATTGGTGTGTTTCTTTCTAACTATGGTATCTGGTCTGTTTAAGTCTATAAATATGGTGCGTCCTAATATACTTGCACTTGGTGTTTTCAAAGAATGGACATAGAGTGTCGTATCTTGGATTACAAGTAAGTTCAAATTTGTTGCTAAATCTTTGTGAATTATTTTGGCTGCGTTGTCATGTCTAGCTTTGTAGTCAGCTTGTGCCAGGATCCTACAGGATGAAGTCATGTACTGAATGGTTTTGGGTTTTTATTTACAACAATCGGTATTTGAAACTTTGATTATGTATTTTCCGTAATTCTTCTTATTAATTACCTTGGTCTTGAATAGCAAACAAAAACCCTTCTGTTTCGGCCTACAAGCTTAGCTTTTTGAATCAAATTAATGAAATGACATATTCCGGGTGATATAAATTTCGTCCAGTTCCTTAGAAAAACGTCCATGTAGTTGTTTTGTTTCAGCCCACTTGTTTCAGCGTCTGAACTGAAAATAAATTAATTTTGATTTCTTATGGCACGACATGGGTCTGCAAAAAAATCTATTATGTCTTTATGACGACATTATAACATGTACCTAGTTCATTTTAATTACAATTACGTATATATGATTATTTTAACCTTTGTTTTTCTAATTACCATAAAAAGCTAATAATAAATGCGCAACAGTATTACCATTTACCTAGTAGTCACGTTTTGTAAAAACTTTTTTTTTATTTCAAAACACTAAAAAATGTTATCGTTTGTTTGAACAAATGGCAAATAAACTTCAAAGTAATTTATGTGGCCACATAAAGTATCGGAATATTTTTGAAACGACGTCTCTTACCATTTACCATTTTTGATGGGGCATCGCCAAGGCCAAGCGGACGTGACAAAATGGCAAGTCTGTCATCCTAATAATTAAAAGTGGCCTGTTATTGGATTTTTCTCAAACCGTGTGCATTAGAAAATCAATTAATGATATACAGTTTATAGATTACCCAGACAACATGATGTCGTCTTTTTCACGTGAACAAATGGTCATCATTTACGTCATAGTGACCAAAGATTTCACGTGATATTGACGTACCAATGACGGTCAAATGTCAATAGATGACGTCATTTTCTCATGAACTATTGACGTGATGTACTGACGTCTTAGAGTCGTCATTTTGTAACGAATTATTGACGTGATTTACTGACGTCCTAGAGACGGCATTTATTGACCATTTTAAGCCGGTTTTATATTTTGATTTTTAGAAAAAAATATGCAATAAATAAAACGCTGAAATAATTTTATTTTTTTATATTGTTTAGCTTAAATAAAATATTATAATTCGTTATAATCACCATCTAAAGCCCAAAACAAAGTATATATTAATTAAACCTAAAACAAATTAGTGTAAAAAAATTAAATTTACTACAATTTTGTCAACCAACAATGAACTTCAATAAACAAATAAAAAATATGTCAATTAAACAAATTAAAGATAAACCACTCCTAAGAACACAAACAAATCTACATACAGATAATTACGAGTATAATTAGTATAAACAAAAAAAAGGATATTGTACAATATATAATCAAAAATAAACGTTGCAATAAAATATGCTATTTAAAGAAAAATCAGTTTTAAAAACACAAAGAAATCTATTTAGTTACAAAGAATATTAAAAAAAAAACTATAATAAACTATAGATCAGTCTTAAAAACACAAACAAATTTATTTACAAAAAATATTAAACAAAAAACTAGAATAAAGGGAAAAGACAATTGAATCGCATTGTTGAAGTTACTTGATTGAAAATGCACTGTACAACCACAGTATATGTAAAACTATCTAATTCACGACGACTTGACTGTCCCCAACACACAAAAAAGTACCGTTAAGAATTAATTCTGTTTTAACAATCATATCAATAACCTAAGTTTTTTAAGTTTGCCTCAATTTATTGCACTGAAAAGAAAAACCCGTTAGAGTGCATGGATTAATGGAAATGCATTCATTTTTTCATCTATGGGCAATAGCAAGCATTTAACTATTATTAAATTTAAGGGATTACAGCTTAAAGCAGAAGACTAATTCTGTATTTTAAAAATGCTAAATTTACTTGAATCTAACGGATAATCGTAAAATGGTTGCATTGACAAAAACGTACAGCCTATCAGGAAAATCTCGTTGTCAATACTTTGTGACGTCCTTCTCACGGCCAGGCTAGCTCCTTCGTCGTTGCGGGGTGATGGGTCGTTCGACTGTCTTGACCTTGGGCGCCAGTGTGTCACAAGAGGGCACACAAAAAAAAGAAAGATGACAGGAAAGCCGAAGAAGAGAAAGAAAGAGGAGTGGAATAATTAGAATAAAGAGAAGAAAAGGAAGGAAAGGGAAAAAAAGGGAGAAGCAACAAATACCCGGTCTAATCACGTATATAATCTGGATTCTATATAAAAAAATAATATAAATTGGGGGGGGCGGCAGCAGCTCGTTGGTAGGTGGATTGACGACCCTGGTTAACCGGCGACCCGTGACGATTGGAGGCAAAACAAAAAAACTGGCACAACGCAAACTGGGACGCACCCGGTTTCTCCCGGACGATCGGCGAGCACTTCCCGGCGATCGGCGCGCACTTCCCGGCGACTTACCGTATTGGTACCAATACGCAGAACGCCCGTTCCCGTCTCCGCGGTCCTGTTGAGGTCAGCTTCTCTTCCTGTGCCTCTCCTGGACTCCGTTGGCCTTTGGTGTTCTCGCCTCAGCCCTTTTCTCGTCTCTCCAAACACGGTCTCCCTCTTCCCAAAGCCTCGACAACGGCCCTCGTCGTCTTCACCCCACGCTCGCCTCTCTCCTTTTTTTTTTTTTCTTTCGCCTCGTCGCTCGTCGCTCCCGCCGAGCTGCGCCGCCGCGTCAATGTCAAATGTCACGTTACAACTTTTTACAATGAAGCGAAATGTGTATGTGTAAATAGTAAGTTACCAAAAAGTATCGTAGTATTACAGGCATCTACCGGTATATAATATCCAATATTAATGTTATATTGTATTTTTTTAACTTACAAAGAAATCTGCTTGTTCTAATATACAAACATAATCTTGTAATTCGTCAAAATTTGTTTAGGTGTGGTTTTGGCGGCATAATTTCTATTTTTGTTTACTTTTTCAGTTGTCAGATTTGATGACGTTTCCATGTTGGAGATTTTTTCACTCGTTTCCTTTAGCATTTCTTTCGTTTCGCACATGTGTTTTGTATTTGTTTCAAATCTAAAATAAAATTATGTTCATTAGCATTAGTTCATAAAAAATTGCAGTAACATACCTTTGCAATATTTTATAGCGCCTCATTTTCAAAAACAATCACCGTAAGTTCTTCATAATCAGTGGGAGTATCTTCAGTGATTAATGGTGGTCTTTCCAGCTTATCTGAAAAAACTGCTTTTGTTATCTACGTACAGTTATCAAAAATAACAGAAACACGTAAACATTATAATGATTACTTTATTAGACATTAACTTACCTACTATAAATAAGTACAACCCACACTGAATGGCATAAATTTGCACAAAACTGCGTTAAAAATGAAGTGAGTAACAGATACACGAGAAAGTTTCGGTGGTTGAGAACCAACTGGAAATATTGGAATGCTTCTCTGTGAAGTGCAATAAACATAAATACCGAAAAAAGAGAAAGTCCGAATGCACACCCCAAACATCTGATGTATTATATGTATAGTAAATACGGATAAGAATAAATTTAATAAAACTGAATATTAATCACTCTCGAATTTTTTTGGTAACCGTCATCACTTTATAAACGTCTTTATAAAATCAAATTTCGACGAAGGAATTCTTCAAAACCTTGTCCCGTTTTAGGGACAATGGACAAAGAATTTTTATGACTTTGTTTGTGTCGTTGGGTCTTTTCGCTCAACCCCAGATGTTGTACTTATAATTTACCAAGCAGGTACTTACAAAATAACATTTCCAGAGTAAACAAGTTTTCAGAAATAATTATTTTATTAGAAATTATTAGAATGAAAAAACTTGTCTTTGGTGTATTTCTAATTAAGCCGTTGTATTTTTTGCTGTAAATATAATCAAGCATTATGAAGGCCACTTTTTAAAGAATACGACGACCCACATCTAATTGATCATATAATCTATAAAAAATTACGAAGAAAGGACGGCCTTTTGACGTCATTAATTGACGTCAAAAGTAAGTCATAAAAATCTCGTCATTTTCACGTGATTTTTTGGGCGAATGACGTCGCCCACGAGTTATGACCAAAAATTGACGTGAATTAGACGACAGTCTGCTGCTTGGGTAGGGGCTATTCGACATCTGTTGTACCACTGACCACTGTACGGGGAGAAAAAATAAAAGTTAAAAAACAATATGTATACAATTTCATTGCAAAAACAAACTTTGCCTGCATTTTCGACGAAGTTAAAAAAAAATACCTGCCACTAATACGACTTACTTAACTAAAAGTTTCAATCTAGTAAAATCTCCGGTGGTTTTCAAAAAAGATTGGAACC